CAACATCATTTTGCATAAAAGTGAAACTGTCTCTGTTATAATATTAGAGGAAGTATATAAGTATATAGTCTTCTCCTCACTCGAAGAATGCCAACTTTTTAGCGTTTGGACCATGCATCAAACCATCAGACAACACCAAATTTCTAGGTACTTTTTCGATGGTAACATGACATGGGAGTCGGGTATAAATCATGTCAGTAAGAAAGTGAACAGTGGGTACTATGCTATTAGACAATAATTGAGGTCCATTTTCAATAAGGCTCAACTTCTAAATGTTTACTTTGCTGTTGTATGTTCCCATATTTCTTATAATATCGCCATTTGGGGATATTCGTCAAAACTCAAAATATTCGTCTCACAGAAAAGGGTCATACGGCTAATATATGGAATAGACTACAGAGAATCTTGTAGGCAATACTTTATTGAGAATAAAATCTTGTGTGTACCTTGCATTTATATTTGAAAATGTATTTTATAATTCAGGAAACAAATGCAGAATTATGATCGAAACTGTGTCTTTCATACGTATCCTACCAGGCACGGTGAATTGATAAGACTTCAGAAACATTTAACTTCTATAATCACTTATCTGACGAAATAAAAAATGTACACAGACGGCAAAGTCTTTTCGAAATTGAACTCAAAAAATTTCTGATTAACGGTTGTTTTTAGTATCGACGAATATTTCAATCAATGAAATGCATTCCATAAATCTTCATATACTTTGTGCGGTACTAGGAAATGTATTACAGACTGAATATTCTGTGTACTATGTGGTTCTGTTATATTTTCATGTATATGCATATAAATTGTGTGTGAATTTATTGTTGTCTGACGTATCCTATCTCATTTTTTATGATCGTGAAGGATTCAATAAACTTCATTATTATTATTATTATTACACAAATAATATTCCTCTTCTTCATCTCTTGGAGTGGACGAAAGGAAATTCCTATAGTGGAACATCGTGCGCACCTAGGGAGGATAAGGAGAGGAGGTAGGTGTTGGAATTTTTTCCTTGCTATAGAATGCATGAGCTGCCTTCAATTTCGTATGACCAAAGAAAATAAATGGCATATGATTGAAAATATCATCTGATATAGCCCCGGTTGACGGCACCTCTTCTATCCCACCTAAAAACATTGCGCTTCGAAATAAACAAACAAAGGAAGGTCAAGCACTTGCCATCCCGATTGACCCATGGGTACCGATTCACCCCGTTTGACCGCACCATTTTTTTCTTGGGAGTCCTACATTTTATCTAGCTCAAGACACTGCGGGTCTCTGAATTGACTCCATCCAATTTAATAATCTGGTTGTCTATAGCATCTCGTACAAGTTTTTTTCCGGATTATTCACATCCAAGGCTGTCTTAAACTATGCTGGGGTCCTTGGGCACACAAGAATTTATGGCCCCTTTTGAAAGTATTACAAAAAATTTGACGGTGGAGCTGTTACAGGTACCTACTATGTGCTCGAAAAAACTATAAATGTGAGAGAAATTATCGGTTCTTCGCGGGCCCCCCTGAGGATGGGGGCCCTGAGCACGGGCCCCCTGTGTCATTATGGTGAAGACGGTATTGTTAACATCAGTGATGCAACTGTCCCATCTGTTTTCTGTTTTCGAAAGAATCATTTTGTATAGCATAAGAAATTGGGATTGTTTCTGCAATCTAGATCCAAATATACAACACAGTTTTGTTGAGGTGCCTCGCCTAACAGTCCTAACAGGTAGTTCGTTAGTTACATAGTTAGATGGTTCTTTCAAGAATCTTCTAAGCTGTAGCCAGCTTATTGGTTCAGTACCTACCTACTTAGATGGTTCTTTCAAGAATCTTCTAAGCTGTAGCCAGCTTATTGGTTCAGTACCTACCTACCATAAATTATTGTCTACCAAACTGAAATATTATTATGATCAGGATGGATGATAGCTTCATATTTCTAGAACCCCTGAAATGTTCATCAATACGGTTCTGTACATTGAAATCCTAATCGAGTAGGATACTATATTTATTCTGCTGGTATCAGTCAACCGCAGTCCTGAGATTGAGTTACATTTTTAAGAAGAAATCCCTTCACTTCGCTTACCCAAAAGCCTTGTGTACAGACAAGAGGTAGGTTATTCTAACACCTCAACTTATTGTTCTTATCTATTCAACACATAGACACTTCGCCAACAGGTGTCGGTGTTTATTAAACTTACAATCAAAAGTGAATGATTGGATTGTATTAGATAATTGGTGTTTGATTATTATTTTATTAGGCGAGCAGGTGATTTATTTGTTATAGCAACTTTCGCTTAAACCAGCTCATCAACAATCGTGGGAATTATTTGAAACCATATAAGCCCTTCAATTATTGTTGAATACTTGAATAGGATCCAAGCTCCGAAATAGCAATGCCAATCAGACGAACTAGACAAGCCCAGTCAGCACATCCTCTCGTTGTCAACCTCAAAAGATGTCGAACAGCACTTTATCAAGACTCCTTCATCCATAGAACGGCTAGGCTCTGGAATTCATCGAAGTATTCCCAACAACATATAATCTCCAAAAGTTCAAAAAAAAATCCAATACCTACCTCCTGTCCCTATCCTTACTAGGGACGCACGATGTTCTTTGAACATTATAGAGATTCCCTTTCGTGCGCTCCAAGCGATAAAAAAAAAGATTTAAGGTCGTCTTAAACTATGCTGGGGCGGTATAGGGCACACAAGAATTTAGACCCCTTTTGGAAAATAAATATATCGAATTATACTAACATTTTTCTATTATGATCTTCTATATTAATTATGGACAATCATATAAACAATACAATATTTCATTAGTGATATTATGTTGCTCGACAAAAATATAAAATGTGAGAGAAATTGTCGGTCCTTCGGCCCCCCCTGAGGATGGGTAGATACATACATTGGTTGAGGAATGCTATAATCATTTATATAGAATAAGTTTAATTGTCTTCGTTCGAACTATACCGGGTGTTTTAGGCTAGCAGATATCTGGGTTATCTAACAAACAAAAAATTTCTAAAAATTGAGGAATTCATGGAAGCAACAGCTCTCCAAAATGGGTAGATCAAATCACCTCGTAACAGCAATCTACTAGAAAGCACATTTTACTCTGGTTTTTCAAATTGTACCTCCAAGTTTTTCCGGTTGATCTCTTAGAATTTTTGATACTCAGTTCAGTGATATATCAACCTAGATATTTAGCAATGAATTATTCCTCGGATATTTTGAATAAATTCTATTAATATCAATTTCTCCTTAAATGATTGTTTATAATGACTGTTATCACTTGCTCCACTTTCATCAGGCCTATTCAGACTCACGAGGAATAACAGATAACTTTGTTCTTCATAATTTTGGTTTTAACGCTTCATCGACCGTGATATATAGTCGAATTGAGAATTTGAACATGGGGGTGGAATTTGCCAGCCAAAGTGAGGGATGGTTTCCAGTAGATTGTTTACCACATGGGCAATTTCATCTCATCATTTTTGAAAATTTTTGAGAAAATTGAAAAACCCAGATATCTGCTGGCCTTAACGCTCTGGGACAGCCGGTATAGACATTCCGAGGTATATAAAATATGAATTCTTTGCCTTCAACTCACTATATTAACATACAAATAGCTATGGTGTTGTATACCAGAGCTGGGGATCAAACTAAATCAGAATTGATACAAGTATTTTTTGTGCTCGACCGACTTGGTGTCTTTCATTGTTTTTTCTTATAATGAATTATCAATCGTTTCATTGATAATATATCAACATATTTCACTTCAATTTGATCTCAGATAACTATTCATTTCAGATTATAAATATACAGGGTGGTCCAGATTCTTGTTGTCCTAATGAACATATCTCCGAATGATGAACATATTTCCGAAAATTCACCATGCATTACTTGTAGATCATTAACTACTGCTATCGAAAATCTGTGTTCTGCAATTGGTACGACTACTTTTCAGTAATATTCATCGAAGAAAATAAGAATTAACATGAGCTGCCTTTTTTTTTTAAAAGCTTTAATATCTCGAATACTGTGAGGTTTTCACTGAGGTCAAACTGTATTTTTCTGATAGGTTTTGAACTTCTTCATCACCAGTCAGAGTATGATCCAAGATTTAATGGAACCCGGGAGACCCTTCTTGTATTATGAAGTTTTTTCAATCGTACTTTTGGAAGTATGTTCATCAAGTAGAATATTTTTATTTTTCGAGTCTCTATATGAACCACCCTATACACATTACAAATAAGTAGTGGCTGGGGTTTCAGTAATTTCAATAATTTTTTCGTATCAATTTTGGCTTTGTGAGATTTTATTCGTGTGTTATTATCCGATATAAGGTTCATGTTTCTTGTATTCAATCAGAAAAGGTATACTTACTCACGTCAGAGAATAAGTGTACATTTTGCAGAATATTTTAACATACTCTCATCTGATTCAATCGTTTAGTGAGAACGTTGTTGGTTACGCATTATAAGTATCTACCTATTTGCGAAATTGAGCAAATATAGCATTCTTCAATAGTGACTCATCTCTCTTTCACTATTACATTCTGATTACAGATTTATAGGTATGTACAGTCAGATGCGATGAACATGTTGCACATGGGCGGTGATAGCACTTCTTGTCACTTTTGCAATGAGAGCGAGAACACCATCCAACCGCGACATGTTCTTCGCATCTGACTGTATCTACCCATTCACAACTGTAATTGTGTAGGGAATTGATAAGAAGAAGACTCCACATTTTGGTTACTATTTCAATTCTATGTAATATATACGTTTCCTTGAATGTAGGGAGGTAGGTATACCTCATACAAACCTATTCTGGTATGAAAATAATACAAAATATAATCATTCCAGGCGTCATATAATAATTAGTGAGCATCCTGAAACAATAAAGTATTTTTAAATAGATGAAGTTACTTTGCTTAGATATTAATGTTGAGTTGAAAGTGTTGAGTAGGTAGTACCTACCTATAGTACTCTTAAGACGATTTCAATGTTTTGTTTGTATATCCACGTATTTGTACAAAGAAATGGAAACCTTTGCCATAATGAGTCATAACATTGAACTCGACGAAGTTATGACCCACTCCTCCAGCAGCAAAACTTGGATATCCACCTTCTCCGTCAGGTGTTTCGTCATGAATATTTACGCAATTTATATAAAAGGGGCCATCTACATTCATCTGAAACAATAAACAGTATTCTTTTATAATTTGTCAAGTATTGCAACAGAGTGATATTTTATGAATATTCATTGCGACTCGATTTCCTTATATACCCTTCAATCTCCAAAATACGATATTACTATGATGATCATTCCATGGAACAGCTATATATAGGATGTTCCTCAAATATCTCGTTAAATTAATGTAAAATGTGGTACTCCACCTGATATGAAAAAAAATTTGTTATAAGAGTTTCGCCGTTTTCGATATATTTTTCTTCCTTGAAAATATTGCACCATTGTCCCTCTCAGTACTTCTTCCTGTGCTATTGGCACAATTTCACACTTATCTGATTAAATTTCCCAGGAGAATATTGTTGAATGATTATTTCAGCTTACATGTCAGAAAAATCCTCCGAACACTTCAGGGAGGCTGTAAGGAATGTTTTTTTAGAAATTTCGTACGTATTTTTTTTCTCATGAAGAAAGGGAGGCTGCGAGGAATGTTCTTTTAGAGATTTCGTACGTAAATATTTTTCTCATGAAGAAAAATGTCTCGATAATGGCAAGACTTTCATAATAGGGATTTTTCTGCATTCTCCTTCTGTTTCACGTGATCTTGACGGGCACCCTGTATAATCGTGTATTATCCATGATGTTCTAGATAGTTTATATACTTAAAAGGTAATGGTTCAATTGGTGATATGATCCATAGTTTTGTTACCTATAGTTCAGATACTGCATTATAATTTGGGGTAGCGTAGGTAAAACTATCATGAAAAACCTTGAAGTTATACAGAATTGCTTGATAAAAATCATGTTTAAAAAAAATCGCAGATATCCAACTACTTCACTCTATCTTGAAACCGGACTATTTGAAGTGAGGAAATTATATGTGTACCACAGTCTGATATGGACACTGAACTCTTCAAATGTATATCACACTCATGCATATAACACTAGAACAACTGCCAACCTGTCAATTAAACCTCCATTTCATACAAAAAATCAAACTCAACAATTCATAACTTACTATGGACCGAAAATGGTCAATAAACTACCAGTACATCTGAAAATGATGAAATATGAAAACAAATTGAAGAAAGAATTAAAAAAATATATAAATATTGATTATGATCTATTCAAGCAGCTATTTGACTGAGTGTCCTTTATTCCTCAAATATATATATAATATATTAAGGTGTAAACAAAATGTATAAATGAATTCTCCGAAACGCTGTATATCACTTGTTACTTTCATTGATGTTATTATATCATCGTAGGTATTACTATCATTATTCTAGTTTATAATTAATACTATTATTGTCGTTATTATCATTATGGCTATTGTTATTATTACTATTATATAACTATTATCGTTATAGGATGTTCACAACACAAGCATTGCTTAGGTGACTTCCTATATAGATTGTTGACTGATATTACCTGAATAAAGCTATCTATCATCTATCTATCTAATAGTCGAATTTCGATAAAATTGTAGACCACCTATTCGCTGTCAAGCTCAATATAAGACTAATATATAGAGTTTTTAAAGATCTTGGTACACCTAGTACCCATTTTTTTCGCGCAGGTTATTTATTCGCCCGAAATTTGGGATTCCGCCTTTTGAAAAAATTCAATGACTCCGAAAATATTTTCAATTTTACAGTACCACTTCCAGTTTCAATTTGATTTTGAAGGAGACATAATGAGACTTTGTCTACGTGGTTACGTACCTTTTATTGACTCTGTATAATAATTGAGACTTGATTCCCGAACTTCTACCTTCTATGAATGTCTTGAAAAGTAAAAGGAATAAGGTCAATGTAACGTTATGGCTGCATAATTTTCTATACACCTATAACCCATGGTAATATTTCGACCCAGTTTCATGATGCGCTGTTATGAAATCCTATGAAGTAGTAAAATATTATTATTACTACTTCTGAGAAGATATCAGTAGCGTATCATGACCAGGGGCGTCAACCCATTATTATCAGATGATTGTATTATTGCTCACTGAAGAAATATATAGTACACCGAGATTATTTAGGTATTTCATTTATTACTCTAATTTGAAACTTGATATTAATTTCGAAGAAGCTAAATTACGAACTGAAAGCTCTTTATTCGAGTTCTTCAAAAATAGGCGCAAATAAACGATATGTTAATAAAGTATGTCACTTACCCTTATGTGAGCAGAAACGTGACTTTTTCCATCATTCGTCAAAATTATATTTTCTTGGTGAATTATTGGGTATTTTCGATTACATCTACCAATGAACAGGTGGTGTGGTTTCTTCACAATTTTCATCATAACTGAAAAATGGTTCAATGAAATCATCTCAACAGCAATATACTCTAGTAATACTTCTTCCTGAGGCTGTGATATTTTTTGTTGTAATTTCAGTCTTGGAATTTGGATCATCGATCCGTATAGTAAAAGGACCAGCAAAAACACTGACAAAAAAGAATGCAGCAATGAACAAAATGTACACTAACGATGGAAGGCTCATTTTTGATTACATCTCAGTTGAACATGTCACACAGCACTGAAATAATAAATGAAATGAATTGTTAGTCACAGGTCGGAAGGGTTATCAATGGAAACTATGTGATGCGACGATGTTAGAAGAATATCGATATAAAAGACTAGGAGACATTCAACTGAACGGAAATAAACATCCCGAAATACCGATGATAAAAGTACTGCGAAGACCTAGTTTGATTGGGATGAGCATATATAACACAAGTCAACTTAATTGATGACATTTTATATTGATCTTGGAATTGTACCTTGTACCAACGGGATGACTCACCCCATCAGTTATTTTGATGAGAAAATGTGATTTCAACTCTGAAATTTATACAGGATATAGAAAAACCCAGATATGTGTATAGTAGGTAATCTCCCAATTCTGTTTTTAGCATTATATATAGCTTTTTCTTATATAACTAACTATACATGATACCACTAGAAGAACCCTAAAACTTTTGCATTCAACATTTTTTTAACTTCCCTGATGAACCCTGTGCCTATAGGTAGGGGTGAAAATGGAGGAAAAAAGCTATACGTAGACCAGAAAATGAAAAAAATAACTCTCGAATTTGCGAAACATTAGAACATGAGGAACCCATATTGATGGTTTTATAGCTCATACTCATGTAGTTTGTATCAAAATATCGAATAAATGAATCAAAGCATTGCTTTAACGATTAACGATTTCTGTGATGTTCATTCATTCCGTCAATGAAGTTGCCAACGAAATAAAGCAGGAAACGGCTTTCTGTAAAATCAATAACGATCCTGGCAGTTTCCTGTTCGATCATTACTTGCTTCCAGCACCTACCGCTCTCTGGCGGTTTGTGATTTCATGAAACACTGCAGCATACATTTCAGTAAGATGAAATTTCATATCCAGCACATGCTGCCATCTCCAGAAGGAATGACATGTAGATATTGCGAGCACTTCGACGAAAAATAATTCATATGGAAAATTAGATCTAGTAGACGGAGCTCAGCTACTCAAAAACATTTTGGTGTACTAACCAAATTTGAAGGATAAATCTACGCAAGAAGAGGTTGTGAAATTGGAATGAAAAATCGAGAGATATCTTGAAGAAAAGTGTTCTTTGAAGTGATTCACGATGTAAGATATCCCAATACAATGTTTTACCACCAATCAACCCAAGTGACTTGTGTTAGTTCACGAAGTATATTTTCAGGAAAAGTTGTAAACTTAACTGCAATAAATGATATATGTAGTGTTTCGTTATTGAGTGAAACATATCGAAAAAAAACATGAAAAAAATTGAAGTATCAAAGTGGACATATAAATTGACAGGTTGATAATTTCAATAATAAAGCGAAATAGCATCAACATATACTGTGTTATTGGCACCCGATAACTATTGAGGAAAAAAATACCGTTTTGTTCAGAAACTTTTTTATTAATTCTTGACTGTGAGAGTAGTTTCGAATTCGAGGAGAATATAAGCTTATTTTTCAATATACCTAAGTGAAACCGAAGAATCCATAAATACCAATGTCTATCTATACAGACAGAACGGAGTTAATACAATATCCTGATCTGCGAAACGGTGTTCAACGCTCAAGACATTTGTTTTTATCAGGCTAATTCAAATTAATGTTTTACACTGAGAATCAAATGCTGTTCAATCGAGCGAATAACCCACTTCAGGTAATCTCCATGTAACTTATCGTATCTGATTGCACAACATGTTCCCCAATATACGCGGGGTTTCAGATTTGCTTGAGATCTACGAGAGTTGAAACCTCGTTGATATAGTATTTTCAGTGTTTTTCTTTCGAAATCCATTGATTTGTCGATATTTTTTGCGAATGTTCAACGACGTCGAAAATTTTGAGAGGTAAAAACATCCATTTTCGTATTGACTTACATCAATGAATTTCATGGATATTGATAGTTCATACATATACCTCACTAGAGAAGATATTTCGTCTGACATTCACTTATACACAAAAACATAAACAGGGTAGTTTAGGTTGAACATAATTATTTTGATAGGTGGTAGTACAACAAAAAAAGTAGACATATCAGAATATTAATGGCAAATGTATGGAAGTGAGAGCACTATAGCATCATTACTGTCTCTATATTATGAAAAATACGGAATCCTCTTGGGTCTACATTCTACCAGATCAATTCAAAAGTTTTGGTGTCAATAGAGTGAATTTGATGGCAGCTGCAGATACCATTCAATATCTAGATATCTTCACATATTATGCAACACCAAAAATATCCAGCAATGGTCACTGAACTCTCACATACCGAGTTCTAGATTGAAGGTTTGCCTGGGTTTTACTGACGCTGATGGAAACATTATGACTGGCTATATATCAAATCCCTGAAATGTATTAATGATAGCCGGATCTTGTAGAACAGCTTTCAATACATATATACTGGGAATTGCTACCAATGTTATATATATCTTCGGAGAACTGTAATAATTCCTTTTACTTCCGCAATTCTCACGAATACTTCAACAAGATGAATAATAATTTCCAGATTTTGAGAATGACCAGAAGATTTTTTAAATTTGATGATTGGGTTCATATCGTTGCTATTTGGATCGAAACTGTCGAACTCCACTTTTGTCATGATTTTCTCAGGAAGCCTTGAGTATTTTCGCAATTCTGTTCATGAAAAGCTCACCTAATTCAAACCACTGCTTCAATTTTGGAACATACACAATGATATCGAAAGCGTTTCTAATAGAATCTGCGGAACCTAGGTTGCATGAAAATCTCAAAAAACCAAACTGAATTCTATCCGATTGGGGCGTAATGAGATTTTTAAATTGAATATTCATTGGACTCGAGCACATACACTTCAGGGAATAAGAATTTCTTTGCGCTTGGAAATTCAATCAGATTGCCAATCGCCTTTCAGCTTATTTTGATGTGAAATTATCAACTCTAAACCATTCAGATTTTCCTATGTGAAGTTCTTCATTCCACGGTACCATCAATATTATTGGTCTTATGAATAAAACAGAGGCGGATCCAGGGAATGAGTGAGGGGAGAGGAGAGTGAGATTTTATCAAAACCTGCGGAAGTCTCAACAAACCTAAAGAAAGTTTTAGAAGCTCTCTAATGAATTTAAAACCCTATTCAATTCATTAATATTTTAATGTGTAAAATCTTAATGTGTAATCTATTTATGTCTTTCTTTTTGTCTTTCCTGTAAAATATAAAACATCCTCCGAAATATATGATATCATTATATTCATAGAGAATAGTGTTATAGTTATGGTTCATGTTGATTCAAACTCTCCACGCACAGCTCTTGCTCTGTGGGCGTAATCCTTAATTTTTGCCCGCGATGTCCTGCTTAGAAGCTCAGCTCCAATGTCTCCGCAGCGTTGCCAACCTTTGGATTCACGATTATTGTTCCAACATCTGGAAATCATGGTACAATATCTAAAATTATGGTACGCGCAAGCGCGCATCAGTCACATTTTGGGACATTGCTTGTAATAACCATTGACAGATGGAATAACATTTAGATTCAAGACAAGCTTTTGAATTATTTTTCTATTCTCATTGTCAAGTTAGAGTTGAGATATATTTGTGGTAACATCATGAACATGTGGGATCACAGGTGAATCACAATCGTTTTAAAACAACTGTGAAATCAGCAATATTGACGAATGTCATGTATCAACGAAAACAAAAATTGGCCCCTCCACTTGATGGTACAGGGAGGGGCGAGACTTGGTGCCTTATAAGACTGCAAAATACAATGGGCAATGTTGACATAGGAACAGGACATATGAGCATCGTCAGAATAGTGAACAGGGATATACTAAATATGAGAACAGATCACATTTCGAAACGATATATATTTGACACTTCATTCAGAGTGTCCATACCAGACAGATCTGAATGGAATGTCGGAGAACTCAGCACCATACTGCAGAGAAAGATCTGGTATACAGACGGATCCAAGACTGTGAATGGGTCAGGAGCAGGAGTATACTCCAAACATCGGGAGACTAGCCTCAGCTACTCATTGGGAAAGTATGCCTCAGTTTTCCAAGCAGAGGTGTACGCAATTCTACAATGTGCGGAAGAAAATAACAGGAGAGCTGTGGAAAACGAGCAGATCCGTATTATGTCAGATAGTCAAGTGGCACTTAAGGCAATAGAAAGCCAGGAAGTTACATCTCGACTGGTATGGGATTGCAAGAGGGAACTGAGAACTCTGGCAGACCGGAACTGTGTCAAGCTAATCTGGGTGCCAGGTCATCAGGGGATCGCTGGCAATGAGAAGGCTGACGAACTTGCAAGAAGAGGGTCGGACAACGAGCCAGATCCAGGACAAACTCTTGGAGTACCAAAAGTTCGGTTAAAGACTGGATTCAGGCAAAACATAAGGGCTACTGGGAAAACATCCCAAGAAACAGACATGGGAAACAATACATCAAGGAACCAAGTCATAACGAACTGTAGACCTGCTCAACTTGAACAGGGCACAGATAAAAACTGTTACGGGACTCATCACTGGCCATGCGCCAGTAAAGGAGCATCTCGCCAGAATGGGACTGTACAATGGTGACCCAAGCTGCAGACTATGTGGCAAGGAACCAGAAACAGTAGCACATATACTGTGCCGATGTGAGGCATTGGACCGCAGAAGACAGAAGATTTTTGGGCAACCAGTTGGCGAATCAGAAGTATTCAACTCACATCCAGTGAAGGATTTGTACAGACTTGTTCAAGGCACAGAGATAATGGAGTGGGCACAATAAAGAACTACTAGGTGAGATACAATGGGACACCATAGGCCTAAGTGTCGTCGGAGACATTGGTCAGATGAGCCTACAAACGGGGTGGAGTTTTTAGTGGGTAAACCCTGGCTAGAGTCAGGAGAGTCCCACACTATTATATGGGGGACTGGACCTATATGGTGTCCATAAAGGATTTAAACCATCTCGACAACTAAAAACAATCGACAGATGAAATAACAT